TTCCATTTGGAAAATATTCTGTTTAGGGTATGCCTATTTTGCAGTGGATACAGTGATTGGAGTTCTTCAGAAAGATGTACTTGGGTAGGTTTCAGCTACCTAGTTCAGGTGCTGCAAGGACTATAGTCAGCATATCAGCGTAGAGCTCAGCATGGGCTGCCACAGCATGGAAGAAGCTGGGTAAATATAGGGCTTAGTAAGTGCTGAGCTGTGTAGTGCCATCCTGCACCACAGGCCAGGTGCAGCTGGCTGGTTCCAGGTGTGTCAGGCCTACACCCCTCAGGCAGTGAAAGGCAGACCAATGAAAACTGAGTTCTTTTTCAAGTCAAGATAATAATTCAAGTCTTCATTACTTCTGTAAGCTTTTCCCTGTCAAAGCTTACTCTGACTGTATTTTGAGGAACACTGGGTAACATTTAAACTTTTCTTAACCTTCTAATTTGTATGACACGACTTCTGCATGGATAGAAGAAGTAGATGCAAGACAGATGCAAGAAATCCTGTTGTTTGTTTACTGTGGATTTAGAGCATTTCTAGGTGCTTGCTCCTTTTCTATTTTCCCTGCTGTTCACATGAGCATGTCAAAAAGTAGCAAGCAAAAGAAAAAAAAATTTAAAGGGAGAGAATATGATACTAATGCCACAAATGTAAGTGCAGGGATTGAAGGGCAGGAGTATCAGAAAAAATAAATTTGAACTTCAGTTTTTAAAATCTGTAACATTTCAGATTTTTCTGTTGAAAATCCAGGGCACAGAGATTTCACAACTGAGTGAAAGACATTTCAGTTCAGACATACCTTTCAAATCCTGCTGCATGTTTCCTCCTCTCTGGGAAAGTCGCTGGAAAGGGAGTCACTCTCTTCTCCATTGCCCTTGGAACTTTATTTAGTATTGCTTTGGTTTTTTTCAAAAGAAGCTATTAAAAAGCAAATAAAGTCTCTCACGAGACACTACAGAGAGAAAAAACAGGGCGACACAGGAAAAAATGCTGTCAATTGAAATTTAAAAATGGGAAGAAAAGTATAGGTGAGGTATTTTTCCATATGATTTCTTCCATGATTCTGCTCCTCCATCTGTTTTGTCTGTGACGCCTATGACTTGCCACTTGTATTCCATCCCTATGCTTGGAAATTGCTGTCCATGAAGTGAAAAGTGAAGAAAAAAAAAAAAAAAGAAGTAGAACGGCGTGAGGAAGACATGAAGGGGTGCAGGGAGGAAGAGATCTATTGAGTGTAAAGGTGTCCAAAGGAGATGGAAATGTGTTCCCCAAGGCCATAGTCTTCAATGGTGCTGTTGTATTTTCTGGCTGTTAGCATAGCAGGTGTACAAGAAGAGCCAAACTCCATGTGCTACAGTAAGTGCAAAATCTCAAAACGCAGAAGCCATCATATCAAGGGTTTCCTTGTCCCCTGATAGAGTCCGCCCACAGTGGTTCTCTAGAAACAGTTCTATTATCAAGTAGACATCCATTGCTTTTTTGTTTCTTTTTCTATTTTTTTTTAAAAAGTAGTTTTCTAATAATATATAGAATATATAAATAATAATAATAATTAAAAAAACCTATTTGGGTTTGCTTTCTGTTATCCAACCCATCTGTATTTTTTGTGGTTTGCCGATATATATATTAAAAGACAAGAAAATCAACTCTGCTCACTATTAAAAAAAATATTAAATCCACTTTTTATGTTTCCAAAGAGAAAGAGAAGGAGGGGAGGTGGGATAAAATCAAATTAAAATGAAAAAAAAATAAAAACAAAACCCTCAAGAAAACAGGAAAATCAAAACCTTCTGTCTCTTCAAAGTAGTTGTCAAGAGCTTTAAAAGCTTGTGCTTTCAGTGTACACCCCACAGGAAAAACAACAAAAATAACAAAAATAACAACAACAACAATAACAAAAAAACCCAAGGACCTAAAATTAAAAAAAGAAAAAGGTAATAATAATCTTAGTAGTAAAAAGGACAGCAAATAGTTCAGAGTTTCTGTGTCTTTTTAGTTATTTTAGCAGCCACCCTTTTTGTCTGCAGAGGGAGAGCTGCCACCACAGCCACCTCCTCGGCTCGAGAGAGGCTCTTCTGCATCGTCCTCGTCAAAGCCATGAAAGGTCGAGGTGTCGCTTTCTGACGTGGAACCGAACAAGTCCTCCGTAGTGCGTGCTGGCGCTGCTTCATCCCTCCTGCCTTCTCTTCCCAAATGAGCTGACATGTATGATGAATATATCAGCACATGGGTTAAGCAACAGGCATTATCATCATAATTTTTTTAATTATCATTTAATTATCATTAAAAAAATCAGACTATCGAGCTCATAGGTGTGTGCTTGTATGTGCCCGCACACCTCAACAACATAGCTTAGGAAGAACTGCAGTAAGAGAAATAACAAAGGATCAGTTTCTTCTTCAAAGAAAAGACATCTACAAACACTACAGGTGCCCATAGCTACAGCAGCGAAAGGGTTAATCATGTTTTCCTCTCTTCAAAAGACAGTAAAATATTTCCTCATGATTACTGAGATCAATTTTTAAATATTTTTAGACCATATAAGTAATTAAACACTGTTAGCTCTAAGCACGATGACTTCAGACTGGCATCAACTGTCACAAATTTACTGCTATAGAAACGTAAACCTCATCAGTCTCAGGACTACTTTTTGTCCCCATGCTTCACCTGAGCCTAAAGAACCTCTTCGGTAGACAAAATGAAATACATTTTGAAGACTAAGTGAAATTAGCTTTAACCAATACTGTTATGCAAATTCCATGGCATGTCCTTCAAAAATAAAAAAACCTCCAAAACTAATATATACAGTTCAACAACTAAAACAACTGAGATGAGGAATGACCCATCTTGGGGAACACTGAAAAGTTCAAATGTGTGTGAGTCAATCCAACTTTCAGTATGGAGCAGGAAATTCTCCACACCGGACATCAATAATTGCAACAACAACAACAACAAGACTCTTAAAAAGAGAAGTCAAATACTGAAATCTGCAAAACTGAGATTTATATTCGCTCTCAATCAAACTTGTGATGTGATTAATAATACAGCCTTCAAATTCCCTCTTCAAGAAAGACTGGCCCAGCAAAATTCAAGTGTGAGATTTTAGGGAACAGCTATTTTCTTATTCAGAAACAGTGAATGGTATTAAGCAACCATTTGGTCCCTGTTCCAGCTACAAGGAATCAGCCATATAAGAAGTACACTGCATTGTTTGAGACACAAAGAATTAAATACTGTTCACAAAAAAAAAAGACAATGGATATAGCAAAATAACTGGTAGGTGAATCACCTTGTAGATATGTGATTTCACTGACTTTGTGAACAGAAAAAACAATATAATTTCCATAAGCTCTCTTTCAGAAATTTTCTCCATTATCAAGAAAGATGGGAGCCACCAAAAAGGTTTCATTGTTTTAGTTTAGAGATTAGTGTGTGGTTGTACCTTAATCACTTTCATCACACATCAGTCACAGCATTGCAGACCCCTATGAATGACTCAAGTGGATCAGAATTTGTACAAGGATAATGTTTAAGGGAACTGACTTTGCACAATTTAGGTTATGTGCTGATCTACCTGTTCTATCACACTAAGAAATCAAGGCAATTAATGTATTTGTGTTACATTCTGATATAATCACTATAGCAATGTTTAAATAGCAATAAAATATAGATCTATCTCACTGTGCCATATCAGGACAATGCTGAAATTAGTTATATTGTAATATAACAATCAAGGAGAAGAGCAATGATCTTCCAAGATGGCACCACAGCCCTTGTGAACTTCCTCTTTCTATTATTACAAAGCAATCACATACACACTAAAAGGTCCATGTCCCTGACAGCACAGCATTTGTAAGGATGCCCCTGGAGAAAACCAAAGGGGTTGCCATTGATCCTCTGGTGACCAGTCAGTATCATTTCAGAATATCCTCAGAGGTCACAACAACTGCAGAAGGCAATTTGTCATTGAGAGTCTAGTCCTTCTCCCATTGAATGTAGTAATAGACTTTCTATGAATTTCAGCAGGAGCATAAAAAGGCCATTTCCTTGGCATGAAAAAATTGCACATCGCATTTCAGCCACAAAGCAACAGACATCTTTCAATGACTACAGTACAGAAGGAGCAGCAGCCATACTGAATTTCAAGGCCTCTTTGGTTTTCAGATTTCCATATGATTGTCTTATCACCACTAGTATCACCACTGTACAAAAATACCACAACTGAAAACTTGGATCAAAGCTGGAATATGCAGTTGTTAAAAGTCTTGTATTCCCTCTACCATTGCCACCACCTCCTACATGAGCTATAAATAACTGTTCAACTGGTAGAAAATTTCCCAAAAAAGACAAAGAGAAAAAAAAGAAAGAAAAAAAGGAAGAAAACAACAACCCAGAAATAAAGACAACTGAGAATGGGAAAGACACAATTGCCTACATTTAAAAAGAGAGAAGGGAAGAAAAGGGAGAAATAAAAATCTCTTTAAACAAAACTAATGATAGTCATCTTGTAAGAGGATAATTCTTGACAGCTACCCCCACCCCTACCCTATAATTTCCTCCCTCTTTCTTTTTTGGATGAAGAAATGCATGAAATGTGTAATCAATGGAAATGCTTGTCATGCAACTTTCATAAACCTTGTAAGTAATTCATAGTTGTAATTGTAGCATTTGAAGACAGAAACCATTCTTTAACATTGTCATAGGATTTTCTCCTTCCGTGTGAAGAACAACTAATACATGTACCAATGTTCCCAAAAGCCAATAAATACATTGAAACTTTATTATTTCATAAGACCCCATTAGCTTAAAAATGTGAATCCAACAATAGGTTTTATGACAGAAAATTTCCCAGTCATCCTTTCCCACAAACACAGAGAAGAGGTAAGATTTCATTTTCTATCCCTTCCCAAATGTGCTGCCTTTCTTCAAAATCTTCAGAAGGTGCAAAAAACAAATCACACAAATGCCTTTGTACAAGAAAGATACAAGAAGGAGTCACTTACCAGAGCGCCCACAGTCTGAGCACGATACAAGTTCCTCAGGCCGACCACTTTTTTTGTTCATATTGGAGCCTCCAAGGCAGAAGTCACAGTAGTTATTGGGAATGATGACCCCATCTGGTCCTTTCTGGGCTGCAGTCAGGTTAGAAATCAGATTTACTCAAAGAGCACTCATTTGGACATTTCCCCCTTCTACCTGATATGATGTTAACTCAGTGAGTTTGCAGGCCACTGTCTTCCCAAAACATTGTCAATCAGAACAAAAAATGAACTGCATAAGCCACCTCCATTTTAAGTACACCCGCTATTGTATCTCTTTTTGCCTGAAATGCCCTTCACCACTTCCTTTATAATCCCAGTCAGGCTGCTCTCTCACAAGGACGTGCTTCCAGATATGTCTTTAAAGTTCAGGGACCCTGTAACACGTACAGGCATAGAGACAACCTCTAATGCAGAATCAGACCTATGCTGTCAGTAAGCCAAGCCTGGTTTTCAGGCAGCACTCATCATTGTAAACCCACAAAATACAAATTCAGAACGGAAAAATACAACCTCCAAAACTCAAAAACCAACAGCAGGGAGATTGCGGGGACAGGAACCCTTACTGGTTCTATTTCAAGCAGGTTTTTAGAGAACTACATCTCTATGTGGCAAGGTGTCCTTAGTCAAAAAGTTGGTCGAAATGCTCATGAATATTCACAGGCAAAGCCATTTGGGGTGTTTTGCCAAAGGCTTAAGCCACCTGCAGCAGTCATGTCCCCTGGGATTAGCAGGGAGGGCAGCAGATCCAGCCCCCAACACAGGTGCAGAATCAGCCTGGGGCAGACGTCACAGCCAACAGAGTTAAAAAATCTTTCAGTCAAGAAAAAAAGGAGGGAGGTTATATATTCTTATTTTTCAGCTAGGAATAGTTGGAAAGGAGCAAACACACATTGGTCTTAAGTAGAGGAGGGGACAGATCCCCTAGGAGAGAAGGGCAGAGGTCTTTTGCATTCCTCTGAGTTGACCAGAACAGAAATGTGCTTTTTTTCTTGCTCACAACTGCCATTTTTCTCCTCTGCTCTCCAGAGAGGGAAAACTTCTTGTTCCTGTACAGTCTAACTAGGAACTGGGGAAGGGACAAGGGAGTGGAGGGAATGATTGGTCTTTGCCTTTGTTTCTTCTCTTTGAACTTAAAAAATCCAGTAGAATACCTAGCCTAAGCCTACCCCATGAAGATTTCTACAAACTAAAAAATTAAGAACTTTAAACTGTATCATCTATATTTAATTATCTGTTTAATGCATATTTTATAACTTGAAGATTTTTAACAGATGTTTTGACAGCCTTTATTAATGGTCTTTTTGTCCACATTCAAATTTCCCCCAAAGAACAATGACATTCTAAAGGGCTTCTGGTAACAGTCCAAGACATACACTTAAAATTAAAATTTCCTCCAAGTTCAATCTGTTTTTCTGTTTTGGTGCATCTATTTATTAATTTATTTCCAGCTGTTGATTAGCTGAACTTTTTGGAGTTCGGTAACTGAATGATTGCAGGAAAGGTGGAAGTAAGAAGAAAATTAAAACTCATAAGGCTGCAAATACAGCAATATCTTCCTGCATGGTCACTGAGTCCCTGAAAGTATTTACTAAACAATGGATTTTGCTCTGAAATGGTCCTAGTTAACAGATCCATAGCTCTCTAAAAACCAGAGACAAGCTTGCAGTGTTGGATTAGTATTTTGCCTGTTCACAGAGAGGCATTTAGTATGTGCATGCAAGATAAGCAAAAAAAGAACAGGAACCAGGTGGAAGCCCAGTCACCAGCTCATTTTAAGAGCTGCAACAAAATGATCATAAAGTTGCTGCTTGTACGTATTTTGTATATAAAAAGCAGATCTCCCTAGCATTTCTTTTTCCCACTGCAGCCACATTTCGAAAAAGTTAAGTAATTACATCTTTATATTATTCTGCATCTACAGACAGGCCATGTGCAATGCAAACTCAGCAAGCTCAGCATTCACTGACTTTTTTGGGTTATTGTTCCTTATTACATTACTTCACCTTTCATCCAAGTGTCTTAAAGTCCCTTACAGATACCAAGATCTTGTTATTAACCTTCGGTGAGGTCAAAAGCCTCTTTTGCCATTGACTCTAACCAAAGTGTTCTGGACTCTAATTAAGTCTTGTGGTGAGGTCACATTGCATTTTAAAGATGAAAGACTTGGAGGTAGAGTGGTGAACTGGCTTACTCACAAACACACAACAATTCTGTGGTGAGGCCACAAATAAAAACAAGCATTCGGGGTAACAGCCAGCAGACTTAGGAAAGAGTCTCCACTTCTGCCGCTGCTCATAATGGTATAATTGACTTAACACTCTGCATATACTGACTTAATTTTTTTCAGTGTGGATTATGACCCTAAGATCCACTGACTATCAAACTGGAAATGGAAAGGGGGACTTTGTGAAAATACAAACACTCATTAATTTGTCTGAGGTGTGTGGGAGAGGTGAAGGGTATTTTCTGACTATGGTGAAGCTGAAGGGATTCTCCGAGGCTGTTGGCAAGGGAATAAGCATGGCTTTTGATTGCCTCTCTTTTCTCTTTTCTTTTCTTTTCTTTTCTTTTCTCTTCTCTTCTTTTCTTTTCTTTTCTTTTCTTTTCTCTCTTTTCCATGCTTTTTTTTTTCCATTCTTTTCTTCCAATTTAATTAAATTTTAATGTGAGTGCCTATGTGGTTACTTATTGCTCATCACTTACAAATATGGACCTGACCTACACAGATAGAGTGTGATAGAGATACCAGGCATGAAAAGTAATACACAGATGAGAAATCCCTGAAGTTACATCAATGATATCTTAAATTATGTATCTCTGGAGCCAAATAAGCCAAGCAATGCTATTTTCTTCAATTTTTTTTGTTCTAACAGATGTAAAAACTAGAATCAAATGTGACATAAGTTTATTTTGTTGATCAGTACCATACAGTGAACTAAGCCATAGGCTAAATCACAGAAGGTTTGAGAATAAAGAGATTTTCAGATGATAGTAAGCAGAGTTCCTACTTTCAAAGGATTTTTTTTTTTTTATGTCCTTGGAGTTTCTAGTTCTATTTTACTCTTGTTCACAAATGATGAAGGAAACAAAGCAAAGATGGCAGGATTTAACATGCAATAGTCATGAAAAGGGTATGATGCACAGAAAGCCAACCCTAATCCCACCGGTTAATCAATAAAATTACTTACAAAACTAACTATGGGAATGAATTCACAAGTGAAAGCAATTGAATTTCTAGAGATGTTGCTGCTTTTCATCTGAGACATAATAATTATCTAAGCATCCACTTTTTGCACAAGTTAATCACCAAGTAGAAGGTGTTAGCATAAGCCAGACAAATAGCTCAGCTAGCAAGAAGTAAGTCTTTAGCAGTGAGCTGAATCATTTTGATCAGATGACTGCCACTAGGGATTCTGTCAAAAAATGTTCACCCAGAATCAGAAACTGTTTTAAAGCAAAGGCTTGAAAACCAACCATGGTCTTGTCCTAACTTACTCAAAACTCCTCTTTTGCATTGCAAACTGCAACAACAGATCAAAAGCTGTGAGGAACTTTGAGGCATACTGCCTGAGCTAAGGTGTGCTCATAGGGTATGTATTTAAATCAGTGCCTCTTGCTATTTCAACTCAGTGTCGCTTCTGTTTCATCAAAGGCCTTGTCTTCATCTACATCTGTCCCAAAATAAATACAGTATACAATTTTTTTTAAAATACTTTAAAACTTTTAAAAATTAATTAAGGAGAGACATGGAAAGATCTGCACAGTTCAAATAATAGTTTCTTTAAACCTGAAAGGTGATTCATGGGAAGACAGGATGCAGACTGAGAGTAAAGTCAATATTTCCAAATAAATTTGGTATGTACTTATTCTGAAATATTTTTTTTCTTCCTAGCCTAATCAAGTTCATTTTAAACTATAACAAGCAGCATAAGGAACTACTTAAAATATGGTACCATCACAGGAGTCTTTTTGCAAAGTAAGTTCTGTAAATTAAGTAAGGTCTGTAGTATATCACACAGTAACTTTGTTCTGTAGACAAAACTTGAAAAACTAAACAAATCAACTGAGTTTAAATATATAAAATAACTTCTATGCCTTCTTGATTTTGAAAGCAGGGGCTTTACACAGAGTTCTAGCTTCCCTTTATCCCTCCCAAGTAATCAAAAAACCTGTAAGTTATGTTCCTCATGGTTTCAATTTAATAATCAAACCAAATCACACTCACATATATTTCTTCAGCCTGTAGGTAATAGAACATAATGCTTAACCATAATTTAAGCAGTGCATCTAGGTTTGGCAGCATATTATCCCTATTTTTTATCATATCCACATTACTGGGAAGGCAGCAGAGAGCGTGTGGAGTGCACGCCTTGCTGTTAGGGTGGGGAGCTGTGCATCATTTATTTAAATGACTACAGTGAATTAGCTACAGTCAGACATGTATGCACTTCCAAAGGGATTTTTTCTAGCATGTTTTGTCCAGCTCTTACCTGCTGCTTCTGAGTTTCATCCAAAACCAATAAAGTCCACTGTAGGTTTCAATTCAATTCAAAAGGCTTCAAATCAGGCCATTTACTCTGTTAGCAAAAAGGATCTTCAGACAACAATTGAGACCATGGGACCCAGCGTGTAGACCTGAATCAAGTCAATGCACTTCACCGTGGAGGAAAAAGGGTGGATTTGCTTTTTTTGTTGGTGTTTTTATTTTGTTTAATTTACAAGACTCTTTGTCTGAGATAGTGCCAGTTTTCCTTTCCAACTCTTCCCTTTTTCTTCCTGTAAAAGGGCATGTCCAATGTTGGCTGCCTGAGCAGCAGAATGCTAGCCAAGAGCCTGCGCCCCTGCGCCTGCAGTCATCAAGCCCCTTGGAGGCCTTGGTGACATATAATCCCAACCTATGGCTCCATGTGCCTCTCCTTGCCACCCCCCATCGCTGCCAGCGCTCCTCCCTGGCAGGCCTGGCCTGTCTCCATGGTGACCAGTGGGCTCGGCTGGCTGTCACTGGCCTTGCCACCTGCTATTGCCTTGTCTCTCAAGTGTAAGGAATAGCAGCGCAGCCCCTCCATTTGCTGCTCAGAATGCTTCAGTGG